TCATCGGCTCAAACCAATGCCAGCACTGCAGATGGCTTAAGTTGGGGTAATGGCCTACTACTCTGGGCTGTACAAACAGTTGAGGTGTTCTGTTAACTCAGAGTGATGTTATGTCTCCAAAGTCGTATCACAGGACAAGGAGAGCTTGAAACTGAGTCACAATAGCTTGTCTGGAGTGGAGGCTAAGACAGCAAAGTGTCTATGACATGAGGGAGTCACCGAACAGGGCCTTGCCAGTATGTGTTGGTCATGCATTGGTCTGTAGATAGAGAGAGAGAGAGAGAGAGGGGGGGGGAGAGAGAGAGCTCTGCTATGACTGCTGATCTGCTGCTGGCTGTTGTTTTGCCATCAGAGCCAGAACTACGTTAGGACTGTTGGCCTTGCTGCTAGTGACATTATTCTATGTTGCCGTGGTCTTAGATGTTACTATCTTATGACCAGTAATGTCATACACTTATAGATGCTGTGTGATGGGTACAGACTATATAGATTTACATATATCATGTCTATGCAACAGCTACTGTAACTGAGTGTATGTAACGTAGACGCAGGGAGCCAGGAAGCAGGTGCAGGTGGTGAGTTTAATAATAACGAACATGGAGAGTTACAAAACAAGAGAAGTGTCTGGACATGAAAACTGAACCAATACTGCCTGAAGAGTGAGTGATGCTAGGGAGTGCTCAGGGTAATCAGGGTAGTGATGGAGTCCAGGTGTGCCTCATGATGTAATGAGGGTTGCCAGATGTGCGTAATGATGGGTTGCCAGGACCGGTGGTTAGTAGGCTGGCGACGTGGAGCGCCGGAGAGGGGGAGCTGGAGTAGACGTGACAGTGTATAACTGTGTGTTAGTCACAGAACACCCACTAACAGAACTCTGGCCTGGCTGCAGTATTCTGACCGCACCATCTGGTCTCTGCAGATTAAGAAAAACATGTAACCATGAAAATACATTCATTTAATAAGTACAGTTTGGGGTATAAAAGTAATAACATAACACAATAACAAAAGGAGAATGGGAACCTCCATTAAAGGCATATTTGGTTTATGTGAGCACCCAAATTCAACAGTCAACACAAGCACTAACCCAGTGGAAATGTTGAGTGCTTTGAAGAAAAGCCACTGGGACTTATGAATATGTTCTTTTGTCGCATTATTGTATAACCATGCATTGGCTTATTATTTTGGACAGTTGCATAAGACAGTGTGTCAGAGGTGCATGGCATATATCAGCCGTAGGGGTCTCACAGTCACATTCAACAACCCCCTACCCCTCCCCCCGCCCCCCAAACAACCCACGTCCTCCTTTTTCTGCCTTCCCTCTCCCCTTCCTCCCACCTCTCTCCCTGTTCTACTTATCTTCCTCTATCTTCCTCTCACTCACCAGCCACTCCCCCTTCTCCCTCCATCTCCACCAATCCTGCCTGTTTAAGCAGAGCCAACGAGAAACACAACAAGCTCTCAAGGGTCTCAGTGCAGAATTAGACGTTCATCCACATTCTCCAAACATCACATTTCAAAGTGTTTTATTGCTCCTGCTGCTCTGTATCATTCCATTTCTCCAAACGTCAAATTTAGAAGTTAATGGTTAAATTTAGTCACTCATTCTGAATGGTTAAGGTAAGGGTTAAGGTTTGGGATAGGGTTAAAACATTAACTTTAGGCACTCATTCTGAATGGTTAAGGTAAGGGTTAAGGTTTGGGATAGGGTTAAAATAAAAATAAATGACTGGGCTCGAACACGCAACCTTATCCAGTCATGGGATTATGTCTATCCTCCACCCTCACCCACAACGCCCTTGCAAAACTCAAGCCTACTTGATGGTAATAGCACTCACTGTTGCCCCTAGTGGCCGGTTTTGAAGGCATTTCCCGACGTCCTCAGGACATGCAAAGACGTTTCCGACGTCTATCTTGAACGACCTGCCTGGACAAACACACATCTAACACACATTTAAGAACGTACAGTAACACTTTATGGTCATAACCATGTCATAATATGTTATAACAGCTGGTATAACTTGTCATATCCTGTCATAATATGGTCATAACACTGTCATGACCCATATATTTACACCTGTCTGGTTATGACACCTACATAAGAATGTCAAAACCCACATTTATTCAAATGTGTTATTTCCCTGCCAAGACGTTTCCTTTCGTTTGAAAGTTTTTTTCTTAAGTCCTTTGTTGTTGTTGTAATGAATTCTGTTTACAATCATGTTTTTTTCATCATATTTTAAATAACTTAAGTAACTAACAGAAAATACACTTTATGACACTGTCATGAAGCATTATGACCATCCTGTGTCACTTTCCTTAGACTAAGAAAATACACTTTATGACACTGTCAAGAAGCATTATGGCCATCATAAACATATAAGCCAAATAGGTCTATCACATACAGTACATGCCCTTATGTCAGTCATCAGTCAAAAAGAGGGTGTCTTCTCCTGCTCCTGCATTCATCCCAGTCCTCAGCAACAGAACATTGGGGTAGGTGCATGTCTGACATCAATTTGTGCACAATTACAATGATAATTGTATGTGGTCAATTTCAGAAAATGTTATATAACATAAACATACTGTTGACAAGTAGGCTATGGTGTAATGGAATGTTTTGCCTTGTGTGGTAGGTTTTGACACTCTTATGTAGGTGTCATAACCAGCCATAAAATAATGCAATATAAGTCACAACAGGTCTAAATATATGTGTAATGACAGTGTTATGACCATATTATGACAGGTTATGACTGTGTCATAATGTGTTATGATGCTGGGTGTCAATAAAGTGTTACCTAATTTACATACTTTACAGCAGTTTCCCAAATACTTTGACATGGTGGTCCTCTGTAGCTCAGCTGGTAGAGCACGGCGCTTGTAACGCCAAGGTAGTGGGTTCGATCCCCGGGACCACCCATACGTAAAAATGTATGCACGCATGACTGTAAGTCGCTTTGGATAAAAGCGTCTGCTAAATGGCATATTATTATTATTATTATTATTACATGGCTGATGAGTCTTAACACATACATAATCACTAACGGCAAGTTCAACAGTTAACTCCCATACTCAGTGCCTGACTCAGTCTAATTTCCCTTGACTGAACTGGCCCTGAATGTCAAGCCCAGTCTTTGAAGTTGCCCACTTAGAGATAAATGGAGAATGCATCATTATTACACCACGCTCATTATATAATGATCACTCCTTTAATTTTATTCAGATGCCTTTTCTGAGTGAAGAGTATCTATCTGTGGAACCTTTTCTGGGCTGGCCAACTTACATAAGTGACGAGGGCAAATAACTTTGGAGAGGGTACGTTTAGACGAGGGATATTCCAATTAATGTAATAGTTCTACATATTGAAACAGGCTGCCTTTTACATGAAACATTAGTTGTGGACCAAGGAAGAGGCAGGGAGTGGGTGACTTCCCCAAGGGGACCATTTCAACATCATTCTTTCTTCTCACACTTTGAGCTGACTTTATCTTCTGTGGATGGAGGCCACCTACACTGGTTCCACTACGGGATGAGTCAGTCTTCACATCCATAGTGTCCTACACAGGGTCAGGTCAGGGAGATAAACACAGAGGCATTAATGAAGACTAGGACCTATGAGTGGGTTGGTTCTGGCCTCCTGTAGGCTGCTATAGTACTGAGAACCCACAAAGATCATAGTGTACACAGAACAAAGTTTATATTTGTGTGTGTCTGTGTGTGTGTGTGTGTGTGTGTGTGTGTGCGTGTGGCACGCATGTGTGGGACCTCTTTGACAAATCCATGGGTTCGGTGGCTAAGGGCGCTGTAGTTTACATAAGCTGTACAGTCAAGTCATCATCAACCGTCTCTTAGTTGCCGTGGTATTCCTGTGTGACTGTCTTATCAGAGCGCCCCCCCTCGGTTTGTGGGTGTCTCCCGCCCCGTGCCCTTCTGCATAGGGCACAACCCAGGCTGCATGGCACAAGACACCCATAACCCTCAGCCTGCCTCCTAAAGCAGAGAGACCTCACAGAAACGATTAAATACAGCAGATATTCTCTACCTCTTTCTTTATAAAATATACAGGCTGAATGTGTCTTTTCTCCATGGTAATATCCCCCTAAATCAACAGATCATCTAACAAATTGGAGTCAGAAAAGTTATCTGCCTCCAACGAATGAACGAATTACAGGCTTCTAGAAGGAATGAGTGACAACTTACTAACTTCAGTATCAGGCTGAGTGTTGATTGATGACACTCATGATTGACTGAGACAGACCATATAAGAACTATAAGAAGGGTGGCCACTCAGATGGCAGAAGTTAGCGTTTAAATGTCCTGTGTCAGGTAATTTGCATGCACGTGCACACATGCACACACACACACAGACAAACACACACACACACACACACACACACACACACACACACACACACACACACACACACACGCAGTCATGCACACACAGTCACACAAACAAGGTCACACACAAACACAAACACAAACACACACACACAGGGTGTGACATGAGTCACAGTGTCAGCTCATTGAGCCCAGTGGGCGTGTGACTGGAGTGTGCTGAGGAGGACATAACACAGTTATACAACCCCAACTGGTTAGCCCAGGACAGGAGAGGACAGGACAGGACTGAGTGGAGGTGTGCCTGGGGACATGTGTCCTCCCTTTCTCCTGGGAATAGACTGCAATTTCTTACCTACATTTTGGATTTCAGAATGGCTCCAGAGAAATGGCATAAATTACATTTATCATTTCATTTTTTAAATCAATTGTTTTATTACATGTTCAAAGAAATGCGTGGTCATTGGTCTTCTCATCCTGAGTATATCCAATGTGATTTAGATGTTTTTTCTCTAACTGATATCTATGCAATCCAATACATCCAGGGAGTCCCAAGACCAAAGACCGCTGATTCGTCAGATGGCATGGCAGAAAATGTTAATGTTTTATCGCCCTCTGTTGGCCTGACAATGTAAACGTCAACCTATACAACGCATACCTTGAGGAGTTTGATTGACATTTGGGCTGTATGTGTTCTGTTTTGGTTGCTAGTGGAGACAGATAACTCTCAGAGGGTGTTGGACAATGACTCAGCCCATCATCTGAAGCTAAGGGAGAGACAGCGCTTCTTTGAGGAGGTGTATCAGCACGATATGGACTTCCTCCTGTCCTCGGCCCACCTGCACATCGACAGCAGGAAACGTGAGAGATGCTCAATACACACACCTACACACACACCTATACACCCGCACACCAGCACACCCGCAAACCCGCACACCCACACACACACACAAAAGATAAGCCTCTATTATGTAATCTATGGACTTATTAGAACGCACATTAAAGTCCAAATAAACAGCACATAATTGACTTAATGATAAGTAGTAAATATAGAGCCAGTTTCTGAGTGTGATGTGTTGTCCATACAGCTCCCATGGGCAGTATCTCTTCTATGGAGGTGAACGTGGACATGCTGGAGCAGATGGACCTTATGGACATCTCTGACCAGGAAGCTCTGGATGTGTTCCTCAACTCTGGGGCCGACGACAGCCCACTGGCCTCCCCTTTACCAGGTAATTATGCCACCTTCCTGGCCCCATAAATAACATACTTACCAGGTTTGCTTTTAGGAGAGGGGGCCCATAATAATTGGTCACATCATTTCTCAAAGTAAGGTTTAAATGTGGAGAGATTTTCTTTCTAGAGTGGAATGTACAACTAGCCGTTCTAGAGTGGAAATACAGTCATTATAAAAAGGAACAAGAGCAGTAGTGACTTTTTACATGTACATTTGAGCAGGATGGGATGGGAAAAAATACCATATTTTTCATCAAGCTGTTAGTCATTTCCCTGCGCTCGCTATAACACTGCAGCACCAATGTCCATTGTTTATGTCTGGCATTAGCAAGCCCTAAGTAATCTATTCTTCTCTAAATAAAACATCTCAGTATGTGAGGTTATTCAATAATTTGGTTGGATGGGAAAGAAAACATTACTAGCTACTGCATGAGAGCTGATTGGTTACCTGTTCATTCTCCCTGGGTTTGAACTGGAGTCAATGGAGCTAGAGGACATACATTGCCTTCCTCACATATAGAGGGTGCTGTTAAGACTACCTTGCAAAAACAGTTTTTTTTGTGACATTTACATTTTAGTCATTTAGCAGAAGCTCTTATCCAGAGCGACTTACAGTTAGACATGTGAAGATATTTAGTATATCAAAAAGGTATACATGTTTTCATGTTTCATGCTTCTTTTTAAACTTAAATTCAGATAGAGGAGGATGGTCCCCCTCTTCCTCCAATGACCAGTCTCTTCTGAACAAGAATGTAGCTGTTCTGTACCTGAGTGTATAGGCCTAGTGGTTCTAGTGGTGGTTCTAGTGGTTCTAGTGGTTCTACTGGTGGTTCTAGTGGTGGTTCTAGTGGTTCCAGTGGTTCTAGTGGTGGTTCTAGTGGTGGTTCTAGTGGTTCCAGTGGTTCTAGTGGTTTTAGTGGTGGTTCTAGTGGTGGTTCTAGTATTGGTTCTAGTGGTGGTTCTAGTGCTTCCAGTGTGGTTATATTGGTTCCAGTGGTAGTTCTAGTGGTTCTAGTGGTTCTAGTGATGGTTCTAGTGGTTCTAGTCTAGTGGTTCTTCGGTAGAGTGTAGCTGTTCTAGAATGGAACCTTATTATCTCTCTGGTTTTCCTGCTCCTGTCATTGTGACCCTATAGGTTTGTCAACTCACCCCTGGCCTCTTACAAAACTCTCTTCTATGCTGCTCTAGCCTCACCCACAGAGACTTGGCACAATCTAATTGGTGCCATATCACATTTAAGATGCAAAACTAAAGCTAGAAGAATGACACAAGAGATTAAAACTGCTGTGTATTATGTGTGTGTGAAATGTCTGCACTACCCGGAAAAGGTTGTTGTTGTTTCTCTTTCATGCAAACTGATGTAGGGAAAATAGGGATTCTGTTTTCAGAAGCAGTTTTGTTTACCCTGGCATTTACCCTGGCATCAGATCACTGTGGTGATAGAGGGGGATCAGGTGTATCGAGAGACTCTCTCAGGGAGGAAATCGGTGCAAACCTTTTGGTTTGTTTTATATATCAATAACTCAGTATGAAAGGAACAGCTTTAATTTATACTTAGGGATGTTTCTGGTGTTAGACACCATTGACATGCTGAAGACATAGACCTCATTATTCCTCTATTAGGGCCGATAGTACTGTCATTAACTGGTTTACCCACCACACCCATTAGAAACTCATTACAAACAGTTGAGGAATGTTCACTTGAAAGCGTGTGTTTGGCCCCACCTATCATCAAGGGATTTACAGTCACACTTTATTTGCTCTACAGATGGTCATACTGTCTGTTGGTAAGCAACTGTTGATAAGCAACTGACTATCTGTTGATAAGCAGTTGCTTGCTAAGGTTACGGTTAGGTTAAGGTTTAGATTAAGTGTTAGGATAATGGTTAAGGTTAGAGTTAAGGCTAGGGTTAAGGTTAGGATAAGGGTTAAGGTTAGGGATAGGGTTAGTAGATAGTTACTTGAAATGTTACTGATAGGCTGTAGATCGACTTTCCAAATAAAGTGCTACCATCTTTTCATCAGTCTGTTACACCCTTATATATTGCCTTTGATTTAATAATAGAGATAGTATCAACAGAACAGAAGACTTCCATTTCAAATGTCATGGCAGTGCGACTGAGGACATCCTGTTGTTTACACAACACTGAGATAATGATGAGGTACTGTGAAAGGATGGTAACTGTAAGTGACATTTCAAATGACCACAACAAAGGCTGTCAGGGTTGATACAAATTCCTTTCAGTGGTAATTACATTCCTTTTCATAACATTTCCATGCCTTGAACCTCAATGTCATGATGCTTGTTCCTTTTCTATTATTTTCTACTCATGTCTTCTGTCTGCTCCTCTGGCCCACAGCAGAGGTAGACGATGAAGAGGAAGACGAGGAAGACGAGAGCAAAGAGGTTGTCTACAGGGAGCGTGTGCCAACTTGCGACGGTTGCCAGGGTTCAAAATCTCGCATGTCATCCACCTCTTCCGGTTCCAGTGACACCAGCGGGACCGACACCCATGTGGTCCAATCAGATGACGAGGAGGTGCACGCAGACACCCTGTTGCTGACCTCCGTGCCTCGAACAAAAGATGAAGAGACAGAGGAAGAAGAGGAAGATGAGAGAGGCCTGTCCGCTCCGTTGTCATAGAGACACAAGTCCCTCAGCTGCTCTGACTGTTGTCAATGACAACAAGGAGAGGGTAAACAGACTAACTCAGAGATCCATACATATACAGTACCATCACTTCCTCTTTCCACATTACCCTGCGGACGCCCCTGGACTTACTTGTGGGAAACCCCTAGCATGGAAAACCCTTGTTATTGTTTGGTGTGTTGTTATGGGTCAACCCACTGGGCACAGATGGCATTTAAGCAACTAGTTTTTATTTACATTTGGTTGAGATGTCAACTAATGTGAATTCAACATGAAATCAACAAAAAATGTCACCATGTCCTTGGATTTAGGTGAAAAGTTGGGTGAAAAAAAGACAAAATTCCATTACATTTTAGACTTTTTGCAAATCCAATCAAATTTCCACATTGATTCAGATTGCATTTTTTGGTTGAAATGGCGTGGACTCAACGTTGATGCAACCAGTTTTTGCCCAGTGTGAATTGATTCCCTGCGTAACTATGAAACTACTTATTGATGACTCCTCATTGTTTCAAAAATGTTCACTGTTGCTTCAGAGCATTATACTTATTTTGTTCAACCATTATCAAGGTGCCAAGATTGTGTTCTGCATATTTATCATACACAGAATATCATTGGCAGAGTGAGGAATGTCCAGATAGATGTCTGTCTCACATAAGAATCTGTGAACAATTACTTTAGAGAGACTACATTCTAGATCCAATCTTATCCATTCATTAATGCTGCTATATGAACACTGAATTCTAACATGACTCTTTGCTGAGTGATTGTAATCAGTTAGTAATGGGAGTCACAAGCGGTTTTTGTTTAATTTGTTCTCAGTCAAGGTACTTACCTCCCTTTATGTGACAGTTGACAGAGGATCCAACATGTAGCAACATAACACAGTCAACTCACACACACACGTTTACTAGTCTACATTTGCAAACTGGATTTTCTGCTTTGGTTTCTGCTATTGCTATTCCCTCCAGCTCAGGACACCTTAAACACGTCCATCTTAAATCTTTAAGTCAGTTATCTACAGTAGCTACATCAATTTTTGAACTTATAAGTTAATGATATGTACCCATTGATTCTTGAAGAATATAACTTATAAATTCCTCATGAGCTTAGTTCAACTGTCGTATGCCATCAGAACCCAACATTTAAGCTTGTTTGACTTTGTAAACAAAATAAATGTGAACAAACACTGTATTGCCTCAAAACAAGGTTAAAACTATAATTCTGAAATCATGGACGGACAGTCCTTACCTCAATAGCTCTGTCTATGAATTTGAGAGTGTATACATTTCTCTTTTGTTTCTGCTTGGTTGGAGCAAAATCCTACACCCACACCTGCTATTACAGGGTAAGATTTCCCACCGTTTTACTACAGTACACTCTGGTGTTTTAACTATAAGAGGACAGTAGAGAGCAGGAGTGAGACACACAGTCCCCAGCCTCATGTTGTCTGGTTATACTCATCTCATCTGAGTACCATGAAATGCATGCCACATTGTAAATGTACTGTATGTTCTGTATATTTCTGATCATTCTGCTATGAGGTGTATCATTTCCAGTGTTTTCCCTGGCATTTCAGATTAAATTGTAGGCCTATCTATGCATGAAGCAAGTCTTGTGATGACAAACAGGGCGTCTTTCCTCCCTGTATCCTCCTATTGAGCTGAACGTTGAGGGTTGGATATGTAGACACTAGAAACTTGGCACACAAAGTGGTTTATGCCAGCTTTTCGGATGTAAGAGTATTTCAACAAGCTGGAATGGTGTGTGTGTGTGTGTGTGTGCGTGTGTGCGTGTGTGTGTGTGTGTGTGTGTGTGTGTGTGTGTGTGTGTGTTCGTGTGTCTTCATTGCAAGAGAACAGTAGAGAGCAGGAGTGAGCCACACAGCCCCCAGCCTCATGTTGTCTGGTTGTACTCATCTCATCTGAGTACCATGAATGTAACTATGTTTGTAAATGCATGCCACATTGTGGCAGTGGAAAACTTGGTTATTTGTATAATGTCCCTCTCTCTATGGGCTCCCAATCATGATTAAGACTAAAACAAATAAAATTATGAAACAATACAATACAATCTTTTTTCTTCTTCTTTTTTAGAGTGCCATACATGTTGGTGTGTGTGTTCCTCAAGCTCTCTACTAGAAAAAAAGTGATCAAGTTTGGTTAAGTCATTGATTAAAACAGTGGGGCCAGGGAAGATTGTGGGTCTCCATCTGACACAGTGCTGTGAGCATATGATAACAATTTGAGACTTTAATTATACTTCTATATACCTCTATGTTTATCTGTGATGACAAATCATTTTAACGACCTCCACGTCACAGTCTGGGAATCACATAAAAAAACAAACAGAGCCAACCTGAGGACCAACCAGTTTTCAGTTTGCATTCAAACCTCAGGAGTCTCTTCCTAGACTTGAGGTTGGGTGGAAAATAGGCAAGTTGTTTTAAGCCCGTGGGCGCTAGTGGCAAGTCTGGAGCTGAAGATGAGAACAGGATTGAAAATGAAGGTTGGGCCAGGTACTTTTACCAATGAGAAATTAGAGGGAAGTCATAGGGTTTAGATAGTGTGACATCTGGGTGTGAATCTCTGGTAATTTAGAAGGGAGGAGTTTGTCGTTAAGTACCTTTCTCCAAATCACTCTTCGCCTAAGTGACCACATAGTATAAATCCATACCTTTTCACTTCTGGGCATGACATCAGCAAAAACATCTCTAGCCTACACTCTAGCCAACACCCCCAGGGCACAAAGCATATCTGTCACGCCCTGGCTCTGGGACTCTGTTATGTTGAGCCAGGGTGTGTTGTTTCTATGTGTTTTGTGTTCTAGGTTGATTATCTAGCTCATGTGTTTCTGTGTGGCCGGGGTGGTTCTCAATCAGAGGCAACGAGTATCAGCTGTTGCTTGTTGTCTCTGATTGGGGACCATACTTAGGCAGCCTGTTTTCCACAGTGTTTTGTGGGATCTTGTTCCGTGTTGGTTTTGTATTGTAACCAAGGACTTCACGTTATCGTTTTGTTCGTGTGGTGAATTTAAATAAAAGTATGTTCACTTATCACGCTGCGCATTGGTCCACTGTGTTCGACGATCGTGACAATATCATTGTTTTATGTACTGTACAGAAAATACCTGTTGGCACATAACTCTATTCTGATACTAATAAAAAGCCATGCAAACCCTAAATTAATACTTTTTTGTAAGTGTTGGGAGTGAGGAGAAGGATTGGTTAGGTTACTTTAGAATTATGTTTACTGTGTGCACTGTAAAAAACTATTCTGATGAAACCTGGGCAGTACTCAACTTGGTCACACTTTATTTGGATAGTCCGGATTTTCCATCTGTAGATGCTCTACAGATTGTCATACTATCAACAAACTATCTGTTGATAAGCAGCTGCTTGCTAAAGTTATGGTTAGGGTTAGGTTTAGAATAAGGGTTAGAGTAAGGGTTAAGGTTGGGGTTAGGGTTATGGTAAGGGTTAAGTTTAGGGTTAGAGCTAGGGTTAGGATTAGCAGATAGTTAGTTAAATGTTACAGATAGTCTGTAGATAGTCCTGTAGATGCATCTACAGATGGACTATCCAAATAAAGTGTTACCTTCGACTTTATACCTTTTCATAAGCTTGCATTTTGTCTGTAACATGATCTGAAACTAAGTTCAGGTCATTCAGTCAAGTTTGTAAAAGTTGTTAGATATCATTGCCAGTCACATAGACCTCCCAATGCTCGGTGTTTGGTAGTTAACCCATAAGAGTCTAAGCCCTGTCTAAAAAATGATTTGCTGCAAAACATTTTTTGGCCTTACTGCTATTAGCCCAAACACTCTAAAGGAAGTTTGTTCTGAAGTGTCTGTCCTATATGTGAGAGATATGAGAGCTATAAGAAAGATCAGGATTATTATTAATTTTGTATTTAACCCCTTATGTTTTGCACTAAACAGTCTCCATATGTACTGCACTTCCATTCATTTTTTCAACTGGCACAGGGGGACCTTCAGACGAGTTTTGTGAGGCCTGTGGTCGTCCTAGAGCAAAACAACCGATATGTACATTTCCACAGAGGGTTCATATTAGTGTGATATTATTGTGTAGGCCAAACCGTTCGGACACTACAGACGATTTTGTGAGAAGACCGATTTTCGGGACGTCTCATGGTCTGACAAACACTGCTCTAGCTCTGTCACCATTAACCGCAGATTCAAGTGCGACATGGAAGGATGTGGTGGATTGAGACACATCCAAAGCAAAAAACTGATATCTCTAGTTTAAACCGACAGATTTGTATGGGGATTTTTGTATTATGCTAATTCGATTTCCACGGGGGTGCAGACATCATCCGTAGGTGGTTTTAAACAAAATGTCCCAGTATTTCTGTGTTCATATTTCAGAAGAACATATGGATTCTTTAGACATTCCGAATGGTGAAAAATGAATGCTAAAGGCAAATAGAGCCACTTTACAAATTATAATAACCTAAACACAGTGGGGAACAATGAGGGCCTTCTACGCTTTCAGAGAAAGGCTAAGGATTTATAAAATAATAAAAATAATAATATTTATATACTTTTTTTTCAATTATGTTTTGATTTAATCTCTTTAGTGTTTGTTAGAAAGGAAAGGGTTAACACTGAAGAGAAAAATATATCCAGTCAGGATTTTTCTTTGGTGGTCTCTAGAGAGATAAATCTAGCTAGCTAAGTCAGCCATTGGCTAGGCCATTAGATGCTTAATAGAAGGCATCTGCCATTCAACTGTATTAGGGCAACATTTTGGAGTGAGAGTGGAATCAACCAATCACATTGACTTGTAATGGGTGGGCACGTTTTTACAAAAACGCATGGAAACGTCTGCCTTCTCGAAGGCCAACAGGCCACTGTGCAATAGCGAGCAGTAGTTTTCCCACAGTCTAGCTAGCTAGTTTTTGTTGTAGGCTAGTTTGCAGCGGCTGCAGCAGGTGTTATCGGAGAGGATGTTTCCTAATTTGTTAGCTTGTCCT